ATATTCGGAAAGAATAAACCAGTTTTATTAAGTAAAGGCTTGTGTCGCGTAAGTTTCGTCGGTACGAAGTTACGGAAAATCAGTTAATTAAAAAAACGGAGACGTAACTTGTGAGAAGAGATGTCACTCATCACTCACTCTTACAAAAGTAACACATTTTGCATTTACACAAACACAGAGTAACAAAAAGGCAATACTTTAAATTTTATTACATAATACTATGGTGCAACTCATAATGTGATGACATGAGTTCTATACATACACTATATAGCAAAAAAACTTTTAAGACACAGAAAAGAACTCATCTGAAACTTACCTCAACACTTTGTAGCTTTATAAACTTAACACCATTCAGTGATGTTGGGAGAGACAAAGTTACATCGGCTGACTTGATAGGACTTGGTAAGTACTTCAGCACCTATCAATATACAAAGGAATTAATTCAATGTATTTTCTTATAAAGTTAGTATTTCAATGCTGATTCTAGGGGGACTTTACTTGATATAGCTTTGGTTCATTCTTTTCAAGTGTTTCTTATATTCTATTAAATTTAGTCTACTTAGTCTAGTATTCACTGCTTAATTACTAAGTCTGACTTTGTGGTTACTAACAGTGTTTATCTCTGTAGAGCAGTGAATATCTTTAACATTTTTCCTCATCTGTCGATTTCAAGAAAAACTATGAAATATTACACAAATGTTGCAAGTATACAACACTCAGAGCTCAAAAGAGGTTTTTCCTTGTTACTATAAATTGAAATAGATGAATTTTTACAGATTTGCAGTTTATACTCTTCTTGTGGATACTGTTTCAATTTTAACTTTGTACAGTATTTAAAGTAGTTTGTAGTATTTGTGTCACTATAATAGAATCTGAAGTGTAATGGAGTCTCCTTGTGAAATAATAAAAAAATATAATCAATTATTTATATCCAGTAAAGTAATCTTTATGCCTTAATTTTCTTGTATTGTTTCTCAATTTTGAAAAAATCAAATGCACTCAGAAATTCTGTTCTCTTTAAAAAAAAACTTACAATTTTAAGAGGAATGGTACTGCTGCAAATTTTGTTAATTTATTGCAAGCTTCAGATTAGCAAGTAGCAAACTCTCCAAAAGTTGTAATTGCTCCTTATCATCAACACTCACTGTAGTAAAATTCTCAGGATTGATAGATATATATAATATTTGATTGTAGTTGTGTGATACCTGATGAGTTATGAACATTCCCAGAATATGCTCTTTGAGTTGAGAGCCACCTAGTAGTAGAGTGTACATATTCCTACTGTGAAGAATATATTTACATCCTTGAAAGGAAGAACAGTTTTTATTCCAACAATATACTTAAAAATACTTTTAATTTCAACATGTTGATCAACTCTGTCTAATATTAAAGCTAACTTATTTTTCATCTATTGTGAATTGTCCTAAATAAGGTAACAAAATTACTACTGGTTTCTTTGGCACATCAAATGTCAAGACTTTAGGGTGATTTTAAAAGTGTAAGTATTTTTAAAGGGAGCATAATATGTCTCTTAATGTTTGTTATTATAGGTTATTTCATAATTATGGTACAGAATGGTATATACTGGTTAATTTCATTTATAAATCATACTACTATTTTTAATTATCACCATAAGTACAAGAATATTAAAATATTTCATCATTCTTAAACACATTAGTAGAAGTGTTTCACATATTTATCAACATGATAGTTCAGCATTAACACTACTATTTACTCAACTTTTTACAAATTGTGAAGTCTTAGTAAGAATCTGATACATTTTCAAAAATCAGGTAGATGAAGGGAGAGCACTTCAAGTTCCTGGAAGCTGCAATGTTAGTATCATAGAACTGGAGCCAAGAATGACTCTACCAAAATCAGATAAAGAAGTTGTGGTCAATGTTGGTGGAAAGAACTCTGAGGTATCAAAGGATCAAAAAGATTCACCATCTTTAGTTGGACGAAAGAAAAGAGCTACAGATAGTTCCAAAGACCAACCAGTATCTAAAGATTATTTAAAAAATCTGGAACTTGTAAGTATCATTACATTTTTTTATATTTAAGTTATGCATCTTGCTAGTTAAACAAATACTACATCCAATTTGGGCTGAAGATTGGAAGGCCCTAGGTTTAAGTGGGAGTATTATAATTTTGAAAAAGGAATTTCTTAGTTAAGAAAAGCCTTGTAGGTGAAAGTACTGCTCACTAGTTGCCCAACCTCTGGTTATCAGTTCTAAATTACAGATACCCATGCCTGAAGCTTAGGGTCTCAGAGGTGACCATTTAGCCCATATGCCATTCAGGTTTAAAAATACTAAGTACAAACTTTCATAACCATAAAAAAAATTACAAGGTTTGTAATGTTTGTTTTGCTTATAATATATATATCTTATGGTTAACATTGAGGATAATTATCTGATGGTTTAATGTAATCTAACATTTTAAAGATTTTAGTTGTATTTGTGTATTGCTTTATAATGGTAAGTACTTCTATAGTGTATATGTTACTTTTAAAACAGTTTACTTATGTAGAGGGCTTGCTTTCATTCAGAAGCCCTTAATGATTATATTTCTATTTAACTTTGAATGATATATCTATACATACATGTATAAAGACACAGGATATGTATATATACTAGCTGAGTTACCGGTGTTGCACGGTGAAAATTTAGATTTGAAATGTATAGATCAGTATTTTTTTTC